GAAGAACCAGACGAAGCAGCAACGACCGAAGACGAGCTGGTTGTAGAGAAACAGGCTGCTGTCACAGAAGAAGAAGAATCAAAGGATGAATCTGCAGCAGGAGATGCTGCTTCGGCATCTTCAACTGGTCCTGAACCTGATGAAGATGAAACTGCAGATGATAATGATGTGACACCTCATGAAGACGAGCTGGTTGTAGAGAAACAGGCTGCTGTCACAGAAGAAGAAGAATCAAAGGATGAACCAGCAGCAGGAGAGTCTGGAAGTGAGGAAGCAGGAAGTGCTGATGAAGGAGAAGAAGCTGCTGCTGCCAGCGAGTCTGATTCTAGAGAAGATTTAGACGCAACCTCAGCTGGAGATCAAACTGCAGACGAGAGTGAGGCCACACCAACAGCTACCAGTGAACACGAGTCTGATGAAGACCAGGCTGTGGAAGCAGAGACGGCCAACAGTGAAGACCAGGCTGCTGCCACAGAAGATGAAGAAGAAGCTGCAGAGAGCGATGCTGCACCAACTGAAGATGAGCTGCAGGCAGAAGAGGAAGCTGCTGTTACAGAGGATGCTTCTGAAGCAGCCACCACTGAAGATGCAGAAGAAGCTATGATGGCAGACCCAAGTGAACACGAGTCTGATGAAGAGCAGGCTGTGGAAGCAGGGACGGCCGACAGTGAAGAGGTTCCTGCCACCAGTGACGATGAAGATCACAGTGCTGCAGAGGAGGCTTCATCTACAACTGGACATGAATCTGACAGAGACGCAGCCGTGGAAGCCTCCAGTGCAAAGGATTCAGAAGAGGAGATGGCTGACATGGACGGAGGAACAACCCAGGCTGAAGAGGAAAGTGAAGCAGTCACAGCTGAAGATGCAGCCATGAATGACCACGAGTCTGAAGATGCTGTGGAGACAGGGACCGCTGAAGATGCAGAAGAAACTGCTGCTGGCAGTGACGATGATTCTGCTGATGACGTTGATGCTTCTGCCAACGATGAAAGTGCAGGAGAGTCTGATACAGCGAACAAGGTGTCAGAAGAAGCTTCTGAAGCAGCAGAGGAGGAAGACAATACAACCACAGGACAGGAGGAAACCTCACAAGCTGCAAATGATCATGAGTCAGAACATTCAGAAGCCAAACCTGAAAACACAGATGAGACTAAAGCAGGAGATGAAACTGGAGGAGAAACTGGTGGAGAAGATGAAACTGGAGGAGACGCTTCAGATGAAAACATGTCAGTGAGTGAGGCAGAACCATCTGATCAAGTAGAAAGCAGCGTCGTTGAAGATTTTAAAGAAGAAGAAGAAGATAAATGTCCGAATGAGAAACTAGCAGAAGGTGAAACAGCTGGAGATGAATCCGAAGAGAAGGAATTTGCTGAGCATGAAAGTGGAACCTGTCAGTCAGAAACAAGGGAAAGCGAGACTGAGGGACACGAAACAGCAGAAGAAGAGTCAGGAGGAGCTGAAGTTGATGGAAACGAGATCAGTGAAGGAGCATCTGCAGCAGACGAGGCCGAAGAAGAAGACAGAGAAGATGAGTCTGCACGAGATGCTGCCAGCGAATCTGAGACGAATCCTGATGAAGCCCAACGTACAGCAGATGAAAGTGACGCTCCTGACGATAGACAAGAGCCCGATAATGGGGTGGAAGAAATGTCAGAAACCATAGATGAAGACAGAGAAAACAAACCAGAAGAAGATGGACAGTGTGAAGGTGTGAAACTCCCAAATGGAGGCTGTAAAAACGACAAAGACAACGATGAATTCTCTGAGAGAGAGGGGATGGAGACGCCCAACGAACACTGGAGTGAGAACGATTCCGCCGACGGAGAAGACGAAGCCGAAGAAGATTCAGACGAACCTGAAGAAGAAGAACCTGACAACGGACAGAAACCTTTGGCTCCCAGCGGGCCGAACAGTCGGGATGCGACTAGCAGAGCAGCTACAGAACCAACGCTGAAGCTGCTGGATCCTTCCATCAAAGTGAGCGCAGAGTCCGAGGACGGAGCGTACGCCGATGGAGAAGATTCAGAGCCGGAGACCAACAGCCAGGAGGGCGCGATGAGCCTCGAGTCCAAGAGTGTGAAGAAGAGCAGGTCGTACGTTAACGGAGACTCTGTGGGAGCCAGAGAGAACTGAAGGAGGAACATGAACCAGCCGCTGCAGAACCTTCATCACCAGACTGGTGCTGAGACCTAAAACTGTAAAAGCCTCAGAAGTGAGCAGCTCAGTGTTGCTCTTTTCATTCTGAGTCCTGAAGGTGGATCTTCTACCAGAGACCTGCTGAGACCTGTGAGCTGAACAAAACGTGTTACAGCTCTGAAAGAACTCTGTTTTCTTCACAACAGTGAGGATTTAGTTTGACTTTTATCACTAAATAGTTACAGCATCTCCTACAAGACATGGACAAGTGGTAGAGTAGTGAATTCAGTAAATGATGTCCAGAAGCTGTGAAGACGACAGATGGTCCAGCAGTGATCATGAAGGATCACAGCTGGGACTCAGCTCCAGCATGGAGACGGAACCACAGCGTGGATCTAAAGCTGCTTTCTGACTGTTGTTGGTGTTCTAAGCTGAGACCAAACAGCTGCTGCTCAGACAGCAGGAAGAAGAATCTGGAAAACTTGAATGTAAATACAGTACGTAGACGGTCACTGGCGTTTTATTTAAAGCTAAACTGGACTCTGGTTTGTCAGAACTGTGAGTGATTGTGTGCTTTTCATGATGCTGCTGTTTGTCGTCTGGAGTCATTCAGACCGACGACGTTCTGCAGCTGCGTGAGAATCAACTGATTAAAGTCTGTTTGTGGCTCTGAGCTCCTCCATGCATTCAGGGAGCTGCAGGTGATGCTGGAGAACAGAGAACACCGGCATCATGAAAAGCACCACTGTTATCTGTATGTTGTGTCCATTTATGTGTTACCCGCTGAGATCTGAGCCTTAGAACCAGCACCAACCCGGACTCTGGTAGAATGTGGCTGAAGAAGTCGACCTGCACACGCTGTAGTTCTGCAGTGGTCTGGCACTTTTAAAACTGTTTGAATGTATTTTATCTCATTTATTAGAATAATCCAAAGTTGAATATTTTTCTAGTTGAAGCTGCTCCTCGCTGGAATGTTTATTTGAATGTGCTGTTGTGCAGATGCAGTACAGGTGGTTAGTGCTGGATGATGGAGCTGCTCACCACCTCCGTCAGGTAACTGCATCACAGCTCACCTGGTTCTGTAGAGTCAGAGCAGGCTCATGTATCGCCACCTGCTGTTGTTCTGTCTTAGACCGTTTGTCTGTAAGAGAAGACGAGTTTATTATCTTCGCTGAATGTATTGCACATATCGTCTCTGGCATTAAAGGGACTTTAAAGTCACTTTTGTTTTTCTCTTTTACAAACACAAGCTGTAGAATCAGATGGTCAGAGTTCTGCAGGTGTTGGAAGACAACAGGTGGACATCAGGTCAGTTTGTAAAACTCAACAAAATTAATATGAAATATTTTGAAACAAAGCATGATAGAAACTTGTAACATCAATTTATATACAATCAAATATAAAGTCTAAAAAAATGGATGAAAGTTTATAATTAAAAAAATAAAACAAATGAAAATTGTACAATCCACGTGTAAAACAAAGTAAATATCAAATACAAAATTTGTTATTTCACCACAATCACAATGCATCAAAAAAATGAAAATAAAAAATAAAGAAATTTAGAAATATCAAGAAATATGTAAAAAAATACTAAACTATCCACAAATACATTTTTTAAATTCAAAAAAATCCCCCCAAAATATAAGCTGTTCCATCTTAAAAACATATCAAAGAATAACAGCAAATATTTGAAAGGATCCAAAGACTATAGAAATGTATTTCTTTATCTTAAAAACTGTTTATAAATGTTTTGAATGTCCAAAGATATTCAGAGGATATAAGCAGCGTGTGTCTGTGGGATGCAGCTCAGCGCCTGCTGGCCTGAATGATGAACGTTCTTATTGACGCCTGAGTGTTGCCCTTACTGTTAGTGATGGGTTGTTTTTAGGTTTCTTCCACATCATATATGCAGTAAATATCATGTATATCACAATAAACCCACAGAGGTTCGGAGTGAAGCTGCTCCACTGAACCCCGGTAGACCCTCAGCTGATGGATGTTTCTGTCACAGCTTCAGCTGTGCTCTCCTGTGGTCATGTGACACATCGCTGCTGCCACCTGATTGGCTGAGAAGCACAGTAAGAGCGACACTCTTCAGGCTCTTTATTATGAACGTCGGTCCTGACTGACGAGGAATCCTTCAAATCACACACTCAAGAATAACCAGGAAGATGTGTTGAGTGCAGAAACACGTCACACCGTTATACGTCATGAGGGTGTTCACAGCAGCTCCCCCAAAGAAACAGGACCCCACAATACGGACTGTTGTTTTTATTGTGTCTCTGGTTGTGCTTGGTTCAACAAAAATGTGTCCAACATGACACTAATGTTCAAAACCACTGAAAGTTGACCCTTCCAGCAGCTTGCAGTCTGTCCAGAATGACATTACAGTTTAAAAACAGCAGAATATGGAGCCATTGAGAGTCATAGTCCAGTTTCCTACAGGTGACTTTAACTGTTGATGTGACAGGTGGAAGGTGGGCGGAGTCATGAACACCTGCAGTGAGGAGCTTCTGTCTCCCCCTTCTGGCAGTGACAGTTATTACTGTCTCTGGTTCAGACTAAACCCACACCAGAGTCCTGAGGTTCTGGAGGTGACTTCAGGTTTTGGTTCACCTCTCCATCAGCGTGGTAACTGATGCCAAACACCTGAACAGCACCTTAAAGCACCTCCTACTGACCAGTCAGCTCTCTGGAAATGTGTCTTCATCATTCCTGCAGGTGGTGGAAGTAGAAGGTCAGAGTTTAACAGAGACTTACAGACGTTTCATTGTTCTATCAGCCTTTACGATGTTATGATCAATATAATCCCAGAACAGAAACCAATTAAAACACTGGAACCTTCCACCTGTTGAGCTCAGAGCAGGTTCAGGAACCTGGTGACTCCCTGAGTCGACCGCCATGACCGATGACACTCACTGAGTTTGAGGTTTGGTGAAGCCAGAAAGCCAGATGATGAGCAGACATCCTGGATGTGTTGACATGGTGTCCTAGTGTCCACGCTGAGACATTTACCTTCAGCTGACTGGCTGGATCAGCTCTGTGTGGGAGGAGAACACCTGTGCAGGTACAACACGGTTGCCTGTGGGTGTTGAGGAGATGCTGGTTGTTTAAGCATTGGGGATGAATTGATTTAAATTCACCTGCAGCAGCTTCAGAATGAGACGAGAATAACGTGTGCTGTGGTGAGTTTCAGAGAAAAGCTGCAGCAGCTCAGATGACTTTAATCCTGGAGTCTTGTGGAAAAGCTGAGACTGTTTGAGGAAGCACCTGCTGGCTGCACTCAGAGGTTTCCACAGTAAACAGCGAGGAGTGAAGAAGGTCATCCGGAGCACAATAACCAGGGGCTTTCCCAGCGCCATGTTGACAGGAACAGCAGAGCAGAGCAGCTGCAGAGCTGGAGCAGCAGGTACGCTGGAGCTGGAGCAGCCTCGGTGGGCCGCAGGCCGACAGGAAGCACAAAGAAAGTCCTGAAACAAGGAACCAACAGGCTGGAGCTCTGAATCATTCTGCTCCGAGCCCAGTCAGGATCAGAAACCTGCTCAGAAAGGAACGGAAATAAGAAATTCCACTAAAAAAATAGTTTTTGACAATTTTAGACATTTTATTTTAGACACATTTGAAGTCATTTTGGACATTTTTGTCACTTATTTTGAACAGACGAAACGAGAAACTAATAAAGAAGGAAAACCATAAACTGACAAACGTGTCGATCTGAGCACATGAGCTCGGTGTGAGGCTGCAGCGGTACGGTGTGTGTATGTGCATATATATATATATATATACATATAACAGCACAACCCATGTAAAACTAGTCTTTTATATGTAGTTAGCTGGACAGGTGCTGATC